TAACATACCGCGGATTGGAAATAGATCCATCTGAGGTCAGGTGCTTTTTTAAAATGCTTTGCCAGCTAGAATGGAGATGCATAGGAATTGGACTACTACCCGTCAAAGCTTCTGAAGCCAAAGTTCTTGCAATAAAATTTTTTGCCTTTAGTCCTATTTGGGCATACTAGTCCGGCGGGATCGAAAGAGTCGAGCTGATACTGATAGTATGTTTCTTTTTGTTGCTCGCAAGTCATGGAAAACTTTTCGTCTACCACCTCATTACTATATTACCGCAATCAGTGTGTGTTGCGACCTCAGAGTACCTCGACAAAAACTTCGGCGGTCGTGTTCGATGCTTCATTGCCGAACAATCTTCACAGTGTCGGTGGAAGACATTCTAATGGTTGGTCCCCAACGGCCCGGTACAGGAAGAATTGTATTCAATCCTACTTCGCTTTCGTAGCACAAATACGCGATGACTGCTGACATTACAAAAATGTACCGTCAAATCGAAGTTGACGAGGCAGATCGCAATTTCCAGCTTATTCTCTGGAGGGAAAAACCTACGGATCAGATTAGCGTTTATAAACTGAACACAGTGACATATGGTACTTCACCTGCTCCTTTCTTGGCAACACGTTGCCTAAACTACTTAAGTGACCTGTACAAGAATTCTCATTCAGTTGGAGCAAGGGTTATCCGACATGACTTCTATGTCGATGACCTATTGACTGGTGCTGACAGTCTGAAGGAACTGGAAACAATTCGTACCCAATGTACTGAAATTCTTGATGCGGCTGGACTTAAATTAGCGAAATGGTTTTCAAACCATAAAACGTATGACTCGTCAGACTTCTTTCTAAATGTTAATAATACTGATTCCACAAAGGCGCTAGGTATACACTGGATTCCCCAGAATGATACGCTTAAGTTCCAATGTTGAATGTTTTCATTTTTATATTGCATTTTTTGTTTAAAGTAGTTAAAATAAAACGCGTGCTGCTCATTTTTATTGTTAATATGCAACCCAATGTTGACTTTCGTCAACCTTGCACATTACATACGGTAATCTTAAAAAAACAACAACTTTAATTTTATACAGTTTTTTAGCTTCCAGACTGAACTGGGTTTTTTGATTCTCTCTCTTGCATTTCAAGTCCCAAGTGAACAGCACGCGTTTTATTTTCGATTTTCGAAGTGATTTATTAAAATTTTAATTTCTTAAATAAAGTGTAATTATTTTGAATAAAATACTTTCGTTGTAACTTTCGTTTTTTATAACTTCAATAAATACAAAAATTCTTGTATTTTTTCATTGGCGCCCGAGCAGGGACTTGAAATTAAATAATAAATAATTTAAAAAATTACGAAAAGTGAAATTTAGTGATTATTGTTCGGTGAATGTTGGTGTGGTGAAGTATCAGCACCAGACAAAAACCGCTAATAAAAAAAAAATTTTAAACTAAATTTCGTGAATATATTCTAGAGCTGCAACTGGTAGCATCGTAATCTTGATTCGTTCTTTATGGTTTATTTGCCGCGTGTGAAGTGGTTGTGAAGTGAATATCAGTAAAATTGATTAAAAGGAAAATTCCGCAAGCAGTAACTGGATTTGTAAAATACCAGCATCAGCTAGTGAAAAAACCGCTATTGTAAAAGGAAACACGTGCAGACTGCTGTTATACTGTTCTTCATTGCTGTTCGCTGCCAGCAGATCGCTGCTGTCATTAACTGCTATTGCTCTTCGTCGCTGTTCGCTGCTACTGCATATCGCTGCTGCCATTCACTGCTTCAGCTCTTCATCGCAGTTCGCTGCTACTATACATCGCTGCTGTCATTCATTGCTTCAGCTCTTCATCGCAGTTCGCTGCTGTCATTAACTGCTATTGCTCTTCATCGCAGTTCGCTGCTACTATATATCGCTGCTGTTATACTGTTCTTCATTGCTGTTCGCTGCTGCTGCAGATTGTCGCTGCTATTCACCGCTGCTGTTGGTTTTCGTTTTTTTCTGGATGGCGTGCCACTGTAACACCACTGCCGTTTGCCAGGTAAGAAAGTGCAAATAATGAAATTGTTGTACCAGGTCATGCTCTGACTAAACAAAATAGTCAAGAAAACATTTTAAATAACTTTGCACTGGTAATTATTTGCACTTTTAAAACACATATATTTTTCTATTTCTATAATAAATTATTTGACAAACGTGAAACAAATTTACGAAGCTGAGGTTGAGCTTCATTAACAAATACGTTCGGTAAATCCAATTATTTAATACAAATAATTGAGTAATTTGCAGGGGCAAATTATATACAAAGTGAATGCATTTTTCGTTTTCGTTTTCGCTAGTTACTTGCAACCACTTTGTTGGAATTTACCCATAATCACAATATTGATTATTTATCGTTTTTTATTATTCTATAAACAAAGTGAGTGCATCTTTCGTTTCGCTAATTTCTCGCGTTTACTTTGTTGGAATTTACTTACAACCGTCGCTCAACAGTATTCAAATACTCTTATCGTTCTTTGCGCTGCATTGCCTTCTCTCTTAAAAAATTTAGTAAATTGTGTTCACTATGTCAACCAAAAAGCGAGCATCATCCCCACAAAAAAATGAAGAATTGGATAAACTACTCCAGCAGCGAGAAACTGTAGTGGCCAGTATCTTGCGTATTAAAAAAGTAATTTCTGAAAAAACTGTTGATTTAAACCCTGTAGAACTGGAATGTAGGTTGGACATTCTCAATTCATACATTAAACAGGCCATGACTTGCCAACAAAAAATAGAGTGTATCAACGAGTTTGATGTATTTCGGCCAGATCTAGAAGAAATCTGCGTTGCTTCGAAATCATTGTTTCTACAGGCGTTAGGTAAAAACCGCAAGTCTAGTATCCCTGATACTTCGCATGAATGCAGCAATCATCGTTCCAGGCTGCCAAGTATGCGTTTACCTAAATTTAGCGGGAAACATTCTGAATACAAAAACTTCATAAGCCTTTTTGAAAGCTTAGTGCACAATGATCGCTAACTGATATTGAAAAATTCAATCATCTCATTTCGTGTTTGTCTGACGAAGCTCTTGGTACAGTTAAGGCATT